GATCCAGAGGAGCCAGAATGGTGCGCGCCATCTGTAGAGACACCAGAGTCATACCCCGCAGCAGCTGCGAGTGAAGTCCACTCGCTCGGCCAGCCACGTGACTCCCTTCAGATGCCAGCTCATCTAGAGCCTGCAAGACTTCCTCATACCGTGACAGTACAGCGTCAACAGCTGACAGTCTCACTGTCCATCGAGTTGGGCAGAGGGGCCTGAGTTTCCGAGCACTGATGTTTGGTGCTCCTTCGTCTCCTGCGCAGACGTCTCCAAATTTTGCGCGAAACTTGCTAGACTCGCCGAAGAGTTTGCCAACCTCGTTCACTACGTGGAGAGCGTTGCGTACCGCTTCAGAAGTATCGCAGCTCTCTTTTGCAACCAGGTTTGCACAATGCGCTCCGCAGTGTACGAATAACGCCGCGGGCTGTTTCTGGCGCAGGATTGCCTGAGCTCCGTTGAACATTCCGGCCATGTTCGCTGCGCCGTCAAATGCCATTCCTCTCAGGTGACTGAGAGGAAGACCCAAACGACAAAGCGCATCTTCAATCATAGCCGCCAAGTCAGCACCAGTCGTGGACCTGGGTTTGTAGAACCCAAGAAACTCTTCATGAACATTAAGTTCGTCGTCCACAAAACGTAGACTGATGGACTCCTGTTCTGTACCGCTAACATCTTGAGTCCCATCTACGACAACAGAGAAGAATTTCAAATCTTCATCAGGATTTTCCCCAGTGGGACTCCCGACCACTTCGGCCGTTATCTCCCTTATCACTTCGTGACTCAGAAGCTCAAGGATTTCGTTCTGCACATCATGACTCGTGAACGATTCCTTTCGCTTGAGCCAACGCTGCAGTTCAGGGCTGTCTGCGGCTCTCAACTCAAGAAGTTGGACGAAGTTGCCGGAGTCCTCCGTATGTCCTCGCAGAGCCAGACCTTGCCTGGCCAAAAATCTGACGGTTGTCACAATCTTCAGCAGGCTTGCCCGTGCTGTCTCTTGTTCTCTCTTCTCGGCCGATGAGACTGCCTGGGAGATGGCTGGCTCAGACTTAAGTGACAAAGCATGTTTGTGCATCTCGGAGCGAGCGTGCCCAGCCATCCTTTCTTTAGCTTTTTTTCAGTTACAGAAACCAGCGGAAGAGAACGCAGGCTCTTGATGGCGGAAATGCAGGGCTTGACCAAGCTCGCATGCTTTGGCGCAGTCAAAGCAAAGCACTTTTTCTCGAATTGGACAGAAGTGGAGCCATGGATACTCTTTGTACCATGCAGCTTGAAACTTGAGGGTTTTGGGGCCAACTTTTTGTGTTGGTATGATTGCTGGACTCGGCTGGTTTGGAGACGTCAGCTTCGAAACTTCCCATGGTTCCTTTTGTGCGTCATCCATCGAGTTGTTTTTTGGAGTGTCTGCACAAGAAATCGAAATTATTAGTAAACTTAAATGAAACTTACATGACATGTACACGCGCAGACAGAATTGCGATAATATTCTAGAAGAATCGCTCTCACGGCACAGATTTTGGCAGGTCTACGGGGTCGGAGTTGGTTGGAATCGACAGTTTTGGTCAGAGTCGGGGTTGGAGCCACCAAAATTTGGCCGACTGCGACTCAGGAGCCAGAGTCGGCTTTTGTCGTGGCTTCGTCATTCATTACGAGAAAAAAAATAAAGAGATGTCTCGTATATTGCTCAGAAACTCTTCAACATACGTCACTGAAAATGAATGACCTTTTGTCAGGCTTAATTCGTAACTACTGGAGAACGTGGGCTCTAAATTTCATAATCTTGATATTTTTGCAACATTGGCTCGAAATTCCTTCTAACAAGACGGCAAGCTGGTGGAGAAGTCGTGAGATACCTATCTCAATTAATGGTTGTAACGGTTATAAAGACAAATGAAACGTGTTTGGCGATGCAAATTAAAAGGAGGCACAATTGATTTAGAGGAATAAATATGTTACTTTTAAATGCAACCGTCAGATACGAGCTTTACCTGACGTAAGAAAACTTTATGGGAGACGAGACTGGGGAATATTGGACCATTATTCCTATGCCTGCTTTGTTTTTTTTTTTTACATTTTTTAACAGGTCAGCAATGGAGTGAAGCTGGCCACATCCAGGAGACGTAGGACAAATGTCAGGGAAGCGACTAGCAAGGCGACGTGATGGAAAGTCGATAGGTAGGAGCTTTAAAATCTAGTGACCGTTCACCGTACGTCATGAGTTTAAACGATTTTAATAATGCGTACCTACGAAAAAATCACTTATTGTGCGTTATACGAGTAGGTGCCTATAACTTACCTGTAGTCAGCCGGTTCCTTTTCACTGCCGGCTGCTGTTCCGGCTCCGTGTCATGTGCGGCCACGCTGCTCGGTCCAGCCGCAGACGGTACGGAGAGGATAGGTGGATCGTCGGAGTCGGCAGGGCGATCGGGATGGCCGGGCTCCGGATCACACTGGAACACGGTGCGCAATGAGGAGATAGGAAATGATCTTACAAACCAGTCGGTCGCGCGCTGGGCGTAGACTTGAGTGCATGCATGCATAGGTGTATCACTGCCAGCATATGTACGGCAAAGCTGGCTGCGGTATACCTGTTCCAAATCAAATCGGCCGGGCATAACCAATCAGGTGCTGGTATAAATTACACATACCTATGTATGGTTGCCGGAAACTGTCATTTCTGATATCATAATTCCGAAGCCCCAACTGCAAAGCCCATATTAAAATGTAACAAGCCGAACAACAAAAACTCTCCAGCTTGTGCGCCGCTTACCTTTCTTTTGAAAAAGTTTCTGATATCCATCACTGGCAGTTCGCACACTGTAGTAATTCAACCAGCGGCGCTCACAGCTCTCTGACAAGCGCTCCAGTTACCACCCAGTTCCGATGCTTCCGGCGCGTGCACGTGCGAGCCGCGCGCTTCATTCTTGCCGTTCATCTTTCATCGCACTCCTATTATGGAGATACCCAAAGAAAACGTCCAGAATGCGACGAATAACTGCAAAGCGCTTATTGACTACTATTGAACGGGCCTCATCGATAGGGGGGTACTGTACCCCGCTAACTTTGGATAGCGGGGGACCGGTCCCCCCCGTCCCCCCCGGTGGCGCCGCCCATGGTGACAAGCTTCACAGAATGACCGCGGCTGATCGTCAGCGAAACAAGCGGTCGCTAATTAGTCTCTATGGCCTGTTAATCATCAGTTTAAACGCTGTTTATTCACTCGCGGGCCACCACGCATCAGCTAGTCAGCATCGCTTCTGCCCGCCTGAGAAATAGAGACTTCATTTGGGATTAGCCTCGCCGCCATAAGCAATTGGATTTATTTTGTGTTGAGCGACACCCTTTGATCAGGCCTAAGCGGATCATGTGGAACTGTGGGGAATGATCAATGAGAGAAATGCAGAACTGTGAAGGCAATAAAGACTGGCTGGGGGATGATGTGGTTGGCTCAGATAGAGGTAAAGCTGCGAGGGCCCAAACTGCTGAGTGCTTGACCCTGACCCTACCAATGATAAAGATATCGAAAATATTTGTCCGTCTCCTAATCCGACACTGTTTCACTCTCAGGGGCTCACTCTGTAATTCCCGTATGGCGTGAAATTGTGTCCGGTGGTGGTCGGAAGCCGAGAAACGGCCCACCCTTCTCCATCGGCGGCACAATCCCGCAGAAAATCGCTTCCGACAGCTGTAGTGGGATCTTTTAATGAGCTGTTCAGGACGATAAATTTTGTTTTAATGTCTCTGGCCGGGATGGCAGTGTCATCTGGCCAGCGGTGGTCGCGTTCAGTGACAAACTTTGACCCCTGAGGTCGGTTAACTTGTCTCGGTTGGTGTCCTAGTTCCAACCAGCGGGCCGAGTTACTCGGGTTGAGCCGAAACGACGCGGTTCTTCCCTGCAATCTCAAACGAGCACAAACTTTATTGAGCCCTACAAAATTCCCCATTCGACTCCGATCTCAAGGCCAGAGAAAATGAAGATTTGACTGTCTAGACGGCTGACGTTCATCAGACATCATTTGATTATCCGACTTCCAAACAGAGATAAAGTAGCGACTGACACAGCTACTATAGTCATTTATAACAGCTGTTGCGCATGCCGTAAATTTAGGCCGACGCAACATGTTGGATCGCAGATGGGCGGTCTCCCCAGACGATATGTCGGATCAAGCTGAAACCAGATCGACGTGGCTTGGATTGAGTGGCACTAAAGCCTCATAGTCTTAGACGCCTAATGATGGTCAAAGTGACCTTGATCGAGCGACCTTGACCGGATGAGCGGGGCCCCGGGGATGTGAGCAATGAGCATTGGCGCTCGCGACGGGACTGGAATTAAATTATCAAAAATAATGGAAACTTGGGCGTCTTGCGACCGTTTATAAATAAAAATGTTATTAGCTAGGTCTGAGACTACGGGATATCGTAGAATGAGTGTTGGCAAATTTTGCCTCATGCATGCATAAGCATACGACTTCTCGATAATCACATAATCGCCGGGTTACATTGCACAGGAGAACAATCCCTTCTTAGTGGCGGTCTAGTCAGCGGCATCTGCTTCGTTCAAGAGGCCACTACTCTCGGAAGTCAGGAGAGGAAGGGGGAGAGGGGGGCCGGCCGTCAGCACGGCGGGATGTCAGACCAGCAGCCTTCCACATCGCTATTGATCCGCGAGCGTGGCGGCTTCGCACTAACCCGAGCCCTGCCCACGGGAGTGTCTTTCGAACCGCGCCTCGATTTACGGCGCACATAACGTAAAAATGGCGGCTCGAAGTGCCGCTGTGTTCGATTAATTATCGCATATTTTGTACGAAGGGTGCGATGCGTTTTATTCCCGGACTTTCTAAAGCTAGGATGACAGCTTCAGTAAGCCTCGCCAATGTGAGCACTGAGCCCCGATCAGACATGCTTATTCGCCTATATCATATGTCTCCTGTCTCATGCAGGTCCCGTGCCGACAATGTGTTCTCCACACGCAATTCCCTATATAATGTTTTTTCTCTCTCCCGTTTCAGGTCACCTTCAGCAAGTGGGTGGGCGTGGTGGTAGGCGCCCTGACGATTCTGGCCGCCATCCTCTCTCGGATGCTCCCGGAGACTTCGCACCGCCCTCTGCCTGACACCATCAACGACATGATGGCCGCCTGCCGCGAGATGTTCCTCAACCTGCTAGTGGCCATGCCGAACGTCCCTCGCCCGGAGCCGCCACCGCCCGTCACCCAGCCAAGACCGAAACGCAACATGTCGGCGCTGTCCGCCTTCTCAGCAGTGCTCAGTTGGAAGTCCCGCTCCAAGTCGGGCGGAGGTAGCAGCAGCGAGGGGCCCGTTAGGTCCATGTCAGATGAGGACTTCAAGCGGGCGCCTCACCCGCCGCTGAGCTCTATGACCTCCTCTCCGCTGCCTCGCGCTGATGGTGAGGTGGCTGAACGGCCGGCACCAGCGCTGCGCTCGCTCGTACAGAGAGTGAAAGAGTCTCAACCGCACCGTCCGTCCCTGAGGGAGCGCATGTCGCGCGCGCTCTCCCAGAAGAGACCAGAGAGCGGTAAGCTGAATGTGGAAGCCAGGATGGTGCGTCGTACCTCGTCGACGCCCTCGCTAGCGTCTGCAGCGCGTCGCTGCGGCATCGACAACCCGCAGTTCGAGCAGGAGCCACCAACCGTGTCGTTTGATCTGGTCAGGGCAGACTCTCAGGGTCTGTCGTCGAATGGCCTCGAGGACCCGAGGTCGAGTGAGCGCGATGCGGCGCAGAGTGACGTGGAACAGGGACACGTTGAGCAGTCGGATCCAGAGGCGTCTGAGTCTCCCGGCAAAACACAGGCCACCACTCATTTCTAGCGAGTGTTCGCCGGTGGCTCACGATCGGTGAGCTCGTATAGACTCGCATTTTGAGGTGATGCGAATGAGCCGCTTTTAGTGAGGCCGTGCGCGTCTAGCAGACAGCCAGTCCAATAATGTAGTGAGTGATATGTGGTCCAACTCATCCGAGGGTAGCCTTTCAGATCTTCCATGATAGTTCGCCATGTCGATAAGCGCAAGGTCGGCGCTATTTTAGAGATGTTATTGTATTCGTTTAAACGGAGACTGTGTGTGTACTGTGTACTCGAGATGTGTGATTGATGAGTGGAATGTGGGTTTAAGATACAAATGTGAGAGCGATGCCGCCAAATCACCAGGGTGATGCGGCGAGATAGATGCCGTATATAAAACAGCTATCTAGTGAGTGCCAAGGGATTCCATTGTTGTTGACATTACATCCATCCAGCAGCTGTTCGTATGCACATAGTCGTAAGAGATAGACAATAATAAACAGAGATCGAGATCGAGCTGATACGTTTATTTTCAGTAGCACGCCACTAAGTGGTCTTTGAGAGCCGATTCATCAGCGAGCGCAGTATCACATTTATTGCACTTGATATTATGACTAGCACTGGCAGAGTGTACCTTCAGGTGCCTGGTCAGGTTGTTCTTATATAAGAACTTCTTCCCGCACTGTTCACACGAAAACGACTTGTCTCCCCCGTGACTTTTCATATGAAGCTGTAAAGAGCTCCGATACGAATAACTCTTTGGACATTCACTACATTTGAACATTTTCGTCGCTTGATGCACCTTCGCGACATGCTGATTATAGTTCGAGGCGGTAGAAAACTGTTTACCGCACGTTTCACACACATGGGACTTCACTTTGGCATGTGTCCTCTGGTGCCTCGCCATATCACTGGGTTTCACAAAACCCTTATCACAAACGGGGCAGCGGAGAGGATAGTTGCTCAGATGCACCATCTGGTGTCTCTTTAGGGCCGCTCGACCCTTCACCTTCACATCACATTGATCACACTGGAGTACCTCCACCTCTCCACACAGTCTTCTATGAGCCAGTAGATTCCGACGCTGACGAAACTCCTTCCCACAGCCGGCACAGCGCAGGCGCGCCACATTTGTCGCGGCTTTACACACATGCGCTAATAACGCCGCACGGCTCTCCAGCGCGCAGCGGCAGCCTGGACAACGCAGCCGCGCCGGCGCTGGAGATGACACTCGTCTACCCCCAGAGTGACCGGCCGCGTGGCGTTTCAGCGTACTGCGGTAGCGGAATCCACGACCGCACCGCCCGCACTGCCAGGGTAGTGCCGGGGGTGAGGTCTGCGTGGCCCGCTCCTGGCCCGCGGGGGGACATGTGCCTGTGGCAATCTCTCGGCTGGCTGTCGGAGCTAGCGTCTCCGTCACTGCGTCCCTAGTCGCCGCTCGCCGTGCGGAATCGCGATTAGATTCCACCGTCCCTCCATCACTAGAACGAAGCTCCGTCGTCCGTTGTGGACCCTTCCGGGCGGTTTCCGCCTCTCTTCCATCCGGGGAATCCGTCCCACTGTTTTCTGAGACTGACTGCCTCCCTGACTGCCTTCCGTCCTCAGTTCTTCCCTGCGCCGACTCGGGCCGTGCCGGAAAATGGTCCGGGTGAAGCCCGCGCTCTCGACAGGTGATGCTGAACTTATCCCGCACCTCCGACCTGAGGACG